TTGCACTGACCTATACATCATTCCAATACAAAGTGCAACACCTTAAATCATTATTTGAACAGAGATGTGTCAGATCCCACTGTTTTATAGGTCTCCTGGACCTCCCTCTCTTTTGTTGGAATTTGCAACTGCATTCATGTTTGCAGTTTATAAGCCCTCTAGTGGTACAGCGCTACCCCGATACAACGCTGTTCTTGGGAGCCAAAAGATCTTACCGCGTTATAATCGAATTTGCTTTGATCCGCCGGAGCGTGCAGCCCCGCCCGGAGCACTGCTTTACTGTGTTACATCATAATTCGTGTTTTATCGGGGTAGAGGTGTATATCAATAACCTATACTGTCCAATAATCAAACAAGCCCATTGGCTGAAAATGTAAAGTTAAATTACGCTACTGTCTTTACGGGGGACCTTTATTGGCTGCTCAGAGGCATGACTCAGCCTAAGTCTTCTAGAGGTACTCAGTCTGCATCCTTAACACTAAATGTTGTGATTATTACATGCAACAGGGTGCACTTTTTAAATGAACTGTGGTTGCTGCATGCACACTTTGGCATGACATGCAGCTCAGCAAATGTGTATCTGATTGCTGCACACCCAAAAGTGTGACAGACAGTCCCAAATAAGGGAACTGCAACAATTATCCTGAAAAGTATACAATTCACATACTGAAGAAAAAAGGATTCTCTTGACAACTTTAAGAATCTTTCTTATAATGGGAGGTATTTGATGCAAACCTAAATATACAAATATATGCACAATAGGCATTATGCAAGAAGCCTCACACCATGGCAGTTAAATAGGCATTTATTAAGATCAAAATCTCAAATATTAAATGACATTAAGGCATTTAGTATTCAGTTACCATTTATACAGTAAAGAGGATTTTTTTCTTTGATACAAGACAACAAACCTGTACAAAAAATGTTTCCCATCATGGGAGAGTGGTTATTTTTTTCCCCCCCAGTGTCCTGTAATTCATAAAATAAAATCCTCATGGTAAACCACTGATTATCCAATGGAAAAAGCCACCAAATCGTAACATTCAGAAATTCACTATCAGTAGGACAGCTCCACGCAAACACCCTGACCTCCTCTAAAGATATATGTGAGGAGGACTACAACACATGCACACTGGGCTGAACTGACAACACACACTGGTATTGTAACCACTCATTCTTTCACTTTGAATTTGTCTAGACTAGGGTGCGTGGTCCTTTTTGCACTAGCATTTACAAGTGTCACATGTTGCTACTTTCTCTACCCTTATCTAGCTGAAACTTTGAGCTAGTCAGTCAAAATCAGAGCCAGAAACTTACTCTGATTTCAGGCAATAGTGTTACTGGCAAGTCTATAGAAACTCAGTTGCATCACCACCACATGCAGGCTGTTTTAACTGGAGTTAAACCAGGACCAAAAACTTTAGGCTTTGTCTACACTAGCACTTCTGCTGGTAAAACTTTTGTTGGTCAGAGGTGTGGGGGGAAAAAACCAAACCCCTGACCGACATAAGTTTCACCAACAAAAGCGCCAGTGTGGACAGTGCTATGTCTGTGGGAGACTCTCCCACCAACATAGCTACCGCTGCTCATTGGGGGTGGTTTAGTTATGCCAGCAGGAGAGCTCTCTCCCATAGTCATAGAGCGGCTAGATTGGAGACCTTACGGCAGCGTAGCAGCAGTGGTACAGCTGTGCCGCTGTAAGGTCGGTAGTGTAGACAGAGCTCTCTCCTGGCAACAAAGAGCGGCTACACTGCGCACCTTACAACAGCACAGCTGCACCGTTGTAAGGTGTGCAATGTAGACAGCCTAGACCTAGACAAATCATTTGATATAATTGTGTTGTGTTCCCTTTCTGCATTTGTAGAGGAACAAATCAAGAAGGCTTTGTTTAAAGGGAGTTTATTTTAAATGAACTATGCTGTCAAGTGATTAATCACTTTTAATATTTTTATTCCATTGGAATGAGAACTTCAGGAAATGGTCACAATATCAGAGGATTCACTAACAGAATTTTACTATATTCTTACTACAGAGTAAAACAATATAAATTAACACTGCATATTTCACTATTCTTTTCAGCATTTGACAGTTAGAAACCAAATAGGCTTTCTAAAAGTTCAATATAAAAATGTCGCACTTATCTTCCCTTTAAGGCAAGTTTTTGTTTGTGAAGAAAAATGTAATAACAGAATAATCTCTGGATAAACATCTGTACTCAGGTTTAATAGTTAGGAAATTGTCCTTTTATAAAATGTTCCACTCTGACAAGAGAAAAAAGCTATTAAGAGAAAGATGTTGACCCAAATTGCACTGTATTAAAAGGTGAAGTTTCCTTGTATCAAATTCCATTATTCATCATCTTTAGAACCCGTTTTGCTTAACTATAAAAGACAAAGAAAAAATGTTCAGACATATTGCATTTATGAGGAACTATATTTCTATTTTACACTACATACAGGCATATTAGGTTGATGAGTTTGTACTAACAACTGAACGCATCAAAAAGTTCAAATGACTCAGAACTGATCTTTTATAGCTTATACATTTGACTCATTGTCCTCTGAACTTAAAACTCTGCTTTCCCATATTTTTATGAACTATTTTACATCCAAAACATATTCTACAGTTAATCTTAGAACCAGTTTACACTTCGTTAAAGACATTAGCTGAAGTTACTAATGTTTCCATTTAATAAGAAAAGGCTGATACCAGTCAACAAACATTTTGGAAAGTCAAACAGATGCAGTTCTTAAAAGTATCCTACACATTTCTGCAACAATTGTCATGAGTGGATTTAGAGCTTAAAAACCTTGATAGTGCCCATTTGCTGCAGTTTCAACACTATGCTCGGAGGTATGCTGACAATAGGTTATACCAATGTTAAATCAAATATGTTTTGTTATAAAGTAGAACTTGTTAAAAATAGCAATGTTAATTTATATTCCAGCAGCAGAAGTAATGGGGTGGAAATGGCAAATGGAGGAACTCAGACCAATATTGTCTGTTTCCTTGTACTCCCCATTCTGTCTGTATCCATCTGTCTCTTGTCTTATAGTTAGATTGTAAGCTCTTTGGGGCAGTGACTATCTTTTTTTTGTTCTGTTAGTACTTCCCCTAGCACAGTGGGATCCTGATCCTAGGTGCTACAGTAGTACAAATCAATAATTAATAAGTGGGACAGGGAAGAGTTCTTTGTGGGGAGACTAAGGCAGAGGGTGCAGGCATGCAGGAGACGATGTGGGGCTGCTGCTTAGGAGAAAAACAACTGAAGTGGCTCCTTTCTTCTACTTATCCAGGGCCCTATAAATCCTGGCTGCATCCCTGTTAGTTGCCCATGTGAAGACAGCACATTCTGGAATTCACAGCTAAATTACATACTGAAAGTTCTTGCCTCAAAACTTCATTTGAAATGCTCAAAAGATAAGACCTGAGTTTAAAGGAGGAATGTAAGACAGTTAATGCTTTCACATTGGATATCTCTTGCGTTTCAGAAGAAATGTGTATTTTTAAAGCCTTGTAAGGGATTATCCTTAGGCTCTATAGAGAAATGGGTAACCACAGTCACTAATTCTTGTTTTTAAAAAAATCTGCGATTTCTAAAACTTGAAAATACTTACATGCTGGATGTATACAGAAATTAATGCGAGACCACAGTCAAATCCAAATGTTGTTAGGAAGAAAAGCAAAAAGACAGATTAAATATAATTTATCGTTACATCTGCAGAAAAACAAATGTTCTTATGCAATAGTTTCACAGTTGTAACAGTCATGTTACCTTAATTACATCCACCCAGTTCCATCCTCGAGGAAGCTCCCCTTTGTGATCTATAGAAGAAGCAGTGTTTATTTTCAGCTCTCAGACTCTAGCAAGATGTCATATCTTTAAAAGCTGAACTCTCATATTACTGATCTGGCCAACACAATATCCAACAAGCGAATGCATGGAAAGCAAGGAACTCACAGTACTAACTTGAGGCAGGTGTAGTGTGCAACTCTGTGCAAACTTCCCCATTCAGGAATTGAGGTGAATAAGCAGACCTAACTGCCATATCACTGCTATGCCAGTCAGTTTCTGCTTCAGGCTGTTGTCACTGGTGAAAAATTGTTTGGTAGCTTTATGAGCAAAGCAAGTGAAGACTGGGATGAGACCCAATTCGTTCTCACTCATGACTCAAGGTGTATCTGAATCTGTCTTTGAAGGTACAAAACGATCCTGAACACACTGCACCATTTTCCTCAAGTCTGGAAAAGGAGGAGTAGACTATATTGCACAAACCTGTTTTGTCTGCTAGCTTTCGTTTCTGGGTTTTGGACAACTGCTCCTTTTTGTCTCTTTTCTTACTTGATGGGGCTATTTCATGAGTTCCAATTGAGATGTTATTGCCTACAGATGTCTGAGAAAAATAAAAAGTATAATTTAAATGTCTCTCCAACGCTGACTGAACTGGCAATTGATATCTAGGTATCACCCTGATGGGTAAACTACAAATAATGTTTGATTATGTCTGATTTCTTATTGAGACATCCCAAATGTTTTAAATTACATTAATACTGAAAGATGCTTGTGTTTTATATCACAACCACCATGACCATTCTTAGCAGTTAGTTTAAAAGTAGTACTAATTTCTAATGTGCTTGTGACCGGTCAGATTGTAGATAAATCTCTGATAATTTTCATATGACTTTACATTGTGCCTCTTCATATAACCTTGTGGTGG